CTATTTAAAATCTCTAAGTCTTTCTTGGGGTGGGTATTTATGTACTTGCACCAACGGTCATCCAACCGACACGAATTTCATGGACTTTCACCAACGGTTTCGCGTACACTGACACACTTTATGGGCTCTTACACCAACGGAAGTGCGTATCCGAACACTGGGACTCTCATCCGAGGGATATTCTAGCCCTTCTTGCTAACCCCAACCCAATTCCTTTTCATGCAACCATGCGACTCAGTCGAATATTCAATCGAACTTTCCTGAGCCCAATCGTCAACCACCAAGATTGGTGTTTGACCAACCCATGCACTCACCCATACCCACACCCATGTCTCATGCCCATTGATGTGATGCTCCCGTGCAAATGCAATGTAATGCACCATTGCTATCTCAATGTCATGCCCATATGTAATGAATGTCATATTAGCAACTTTAACCACATGTATACATATGTCATGCAATTTATCACCAATTTCATCCAATGTCGATATATCAATGAGCATACGTCAACATTTCATTTCCAACAATAATTCACAAACATGTTATTTTCTCATATATATCCCAATAACACACTTTGTTCATGAAGGCATAATTAAAACACATAGCATGCTCACATAATATCAAGTTCCATGGAATTACTCAAGTAATTACCACATAACAATTCCAAACTAGGAATTTAATTTAAATTAGGTCAATTTCTCATACCCAATTCACCAAATCGATCAATTCCATCAACTCCACATCCATAGGCAAGTAATATATATCTCTATCGACTTACCCATTACACAAAACACCCTATGTTGTAAAATAAACCCGAGTAGGAAAGAACCCTACCTCTTGAAGCGTAATCCATTTGGTAGAAACCTTCAAGAACCTCAATCAAGCTCAAACCTTTGGTTTCCTCAAATCCTATTTTTCAATCTTTGGTGGAAATTCTCGTTTTTGGTACGTAGGCGTAGCCTTTGACGTGAAGAGCAACTTTTCCTCTTGGCCCGAGTGGATCCGAGCACCGTGGAGTTGTAGATCGTAGAGAGATGGTGGAAAAATTTCTCTATTTCCCTCTCTTCTTTATCGGCTAAGGGCTGGACAAGAGAATGGGGGAAAAATCTGATTTTTTCCGCTATTTATACTTCTTAATACTTGGCCGCACGACCCTATTTTTCTCAGTCCGTTTTCGCTCCGAAACGATTAAATTTCGTCCCAGTTTAAGTTCAAAGTATTTTTATTTTAAATTACCTTAAATAATTTTCTAAATTTTAAAATTTTATCAAAAATCTCGTTTTTGGGTCACCTCAGACTCGATAGCCTCGTAAAACGTAAAAAATCTGACTATCTCAGAATTCGACAAAATTTGACAGGGTAACTAGATTTCGTGAGATGAATCCAACAGTGAGGCCCATTTCATCATTTGAGATCTAGAAAAATTCATATTTTCAACCAGTATTGTAGCGACAATTTATCGTTTTGCCCTTTTTGTAAAAAGTTTAAATTTACCTGGTTTTACAGTTTTAATAGTTTAAATTATTAATGATCTAAAAGGAATTTAAGTATTGGTGATAAGTAAATATATGTCTAAAATTTAGTTAAATCTAAATCCCTTAAAAGATGTCAAATGCCAATCGTGAGAGAAGAGCCCAATGTGGCGAAATCTAAAAAGGTGAGGCAAAAATAAATGGCTAAAACAAATCACACTTGAATTGTGAGAGTACTTATACTTGATTGTAAATTATTAATTTGTAAAGCTCATATTAATCATGTTTAGAAGCATACACTTAAAGTATAGAATTCACAATCATATTAATTGAAGCCATAGAGTAAAATGGATAAAAAAAATGGAGAGTTGTCAAAAAAAGGAATATTTGGGACACTCACTAACCACTTATGTTTTCACTTAGATAGTGCATTAGGGTTTCATGATGAGCTTATTAATGATTTAAATCTTTTCATAATTGTTTTTCTATTGGAGGCTGGTTTCACACACTATACTTGAATATTTCAAAGTTGAACAAAATTTAATCACATGTGTGTGAAATTGAACCAAGTGAGGAAACATTATTCTAAGATACATGAAATTGAGTTTTAGATTCCTAAATATGGCTTAGAGTAATGTATTGGGATGATTAATTTTTTATGGAGACCATTGAAATGAAAATTTGTGTAATTTTCATGATTATTAGAATTTGGGCATTTATTGTTTAAATTTGAAAATTGCATTTGATTTTAATCCAAATTTATCCATGCATTGCATTCAATACCATTTAGTTGTGATTTGCATCAGTTATGTATGTTGAGACTGAATGGAGAAGGGTTGAAGTAGACTAGACTACAGAAAGCAGAAATGCTCTACTTGAGACTTTGCTCGAGTGCCCCAAAACCTCGCTCAAGGGGTTGGCATCGGGATTCGGCATTGCTTGCTTAAAAGACTGGATTTTGATGGGAGTTACTCATTTTCTCCACTTCCAAGCTGGAACCCTCTCATTTTCGACCCTACCCAAAGCATTTTCAAGTGATTAAACTTCATATAGAGAGAGATTTAGTGTTATTTGAGTTTAGATATAACCTAATCATACACATTTATACTATTTCATTGATTATTTTGTGGAAAATTCTGCCCAATTCTCAAAAAGGGGTAAGGGTACAAGGTTCATTTATTAGAGCTCGATTTCAAACACCATTGTATTGAGATCTGTATAGGAGATAGTTTTCATCTTGGATTGTACATTGAGTGCTCATCCTTGAATTATTTCATAACTAACATATTCACTTTAGGCTTGCTAGTAGACTAACTTGCTTTGATTAGCTTGTTTTTTTATTTATGCATTGATTTCATGATTTTAGGTAGTTTAGGTGTAAAGGTGGATCAGAAGCTTGATAGTAATGACTTTGGACAAGTTAGAGTTGAAGTTGATCCATTAGAAATGAAGTTGACGACCATAAAAAAGAAATTTAGAGAAAAATAGGTTCTACAGTATCAAACTTACTGGTAGGAGTGTGCTAAAAATAAGAATTTACTGGTCAAAGTTGGATTTCTAACAGTTGGAATGAAGACAGTGTGTAAGTTACTAATCGGTTGGCTTATGTTCTACTAGTAGAAAGGCTCTTTGGAAGAACAATAAGGTGTTCTATCAGTATGTAATGATGTGTTCTATCGGTAGCAAAGCTCTCTAGAATATGTTCTACCAGTTGTTGACCTAGTGTGGTATCGGTAGAAGAAACTACGAGGATTTGAAGATTAAGGTTCTACTAGTAGGTCGTGCAGTAGAATGAGGTTCTACCAGTATGTATCAATGTTCTACCAATAGGTCTACAACAGATTTGATGGGAAACTCTAATTTGTGTCTGATTTTGCCATATCTTTTGGGGATTCTCCACTAATAAGAATAAGTGGTGTTGTAGTAGAAGATATGCATGAAGATACTAAAGATATTCCTTCCATTCACCATAAATAGGAGGCTTTGGCTAAGGATTAGGGATCGCTAAATTGCTTATCTTTCTTTTTCGTAGCAACTTTTCTTAGTCTTTTTCCTTACAAACTTTTATTTAGTTATTTCTTTGGCTTTAGTTCAAGTATTAGTATTTTCAATTCCAAGTCAATTTCATTCAATATAATCAATTTCAACACTGTTATTTCAGTATAAAGTATTTTACATTCAACTTCTTATTTCAACACAATCTTTATTTCTTTAAATTAAATTATGTCTTTCTCAATGCTTTGCTTTATTTTCATCATCATGGGTGAGTAGTTTCTTTTCTAGAAAATTGGATAAGGAAATCCCAATCTATGAACTAGGGTTTACACACTAAACTAGGTTTCCACGATATATGTGATTTAATGACTGAATAATTGCTTCCAAAAATGAAATTGATTGGTCATATCCTTTATTGTTCATATCATGACAAGCAACTTTGCTTTGATTGGTCATATCCTTCTTTCATGAGTTCTTCACAAACACAATATCATATTCCACCAAAGCCTCCAAATTCATCCACAAACACACAACATACCTATGTTTCATTATTCAAAAACCAATCCCATCAAGTTCCTGATGGTTCAATACCAAAAAAAATTGAAAAGCCTATAGTATTCTATGAAGGGAAGCCTATTTTTTAATTTTACAAATGAATAAGTGCAAAAGTCTTGTCAAACGTTACAACATACTTCGATTGGCAAGTGATCTTATGGTAGACTTTCCTTGGGAGTGATAAAGGAAGTGATTAGACCCAAATGGAGTCTAAAGGGGGATTTTGAAGTTGGATCAATTGAACAAAGACATATTTTATTGAGGTTTCAACTGCAAGAGGACTATGTAAAGACTTGGTTGAAGGATGCAACTCTGATAAAAGATTACCTATTTAGATTTTTTAAGTGGTTTTCAGGATTTGTACTAAGAATTGAGCCATCAGTTGTCCCCATGTGGGTTTCATTACCTGGACTACCTCTGAATTTCTTTACGAGATAGTACTTGGAATTGCTGGTCTAGCCATAGGAAGAGTACTGGCCTATGATCAAGCTACCTTATCTTTTTCATGGCCATGTGTGGCAAGATTCTGTATAGAAGTTAATCTACTGCTGAATAATCCTTTAATGGCAACGAATTACCTATGAGTAAAACAAGCAATACTGCAAAAGCTTCAAGAAACAGGGACATGGTGAGGAAGAATGCAGGAAAAGGAAAGTTTTGTGACAGGAGGAGAAAGGAAAGGATATAGTTTCCATGGAGATTGCAACAGGAAAGGAAAGAGGGGAGTAGTAGAAAGGAAAGGATATTCAGTTGACTTGAACTATTTGAAATTTGCGTGAGGAAGTTGCCAATCTAACAATCAATCAACAAAAAATGAAGCAATTAAATCCAACCCAGCCAGCTAAGGGTGTTTGGATGCAACAACAAAAGCCAAACCAAACAAGTATCTTATAGACGGTAACAATTAGTGATAATAGAAAGACAATCAGTTGTAGTTATGAAGGAAAAGATTTGGAAGTAGATAAAGCAATTAAAGCCATGGAAAAAGGAGAGCATTTGGGGAAAGATAATATAACTACATTTGGTAAGGATTTTTTAATAAAAGAAACCATGCAAATGAAAGATTGTGTAAATCTAATGCATGATTCTATAATTGCAGAGGAAGTTCCCTTGGAGCCTGTGGAAGAACAACAACAATCTTTGACTACCAACAACGCATTTGTCCAAGCTTTCAATATGGATTATGTAACTGTTCAAGCAACATTGATTGAAGATCTGGAACAAAATAAGAGGGGAAAATCAACAATACAATCTAATTCAACATTACAGGAGGTAGTAAGTGAAGATGCAGGCATGCAAAGTAAAAATGAAACAACTTAAGTTTGTGATAGTAGTTCAAAATAAAAGGCAACAAGATAAAGATGTTGGGCAAGAGGTATATTTTCCCAATAAGCAATCTTTCCAATTTGAAGATTCCACTTATTATTTGAATAATGTATTTACATGTGGAAAATCCTCTAATGTCAATTTGGATGAGGGGCTGGGCTTAGAATATCATAAGGAACCCCCAAATAGTGGTTTTTACTGACATAGAGATGTCCCAAATAATTTAGAATCTATAGGGGTAAATTCACAAGGCTCAAAAACTGATGATAACTATAGTCCATAATTAAGAAGTATAGTGGCTGTTCATATTGGCATGGTAACTAGATCAAAATCTAGGTAGGCTAATTACTCCAAGCTATTTTAAACGATTAATATGCTTTTATGGAATATAAGAGGATCATGGAAAGGTCCCAAATAGAGGCGTCTAAAGAAGTTACTACAGATTCATGATATTTGTTTGTGTCAATTCTGGAACCTACACAGGGAGTGCAAGGTCTGGCTGGATTAGCTAAAACTTTAAATATGTCCTCTAATGAGGTTAATGTTATGGTTGAAAAACATATATGGATTTTGTGAGATCAAAGATTGGTTATGAAGGTAGTGGATTCTCACTTACAAGCTCTAACACTTGAGGCTTCATTCTTGGGTTCTCAGGTTTTGTGTATTACATTAGTATACTCTCAGTGTGATCATTTGTTGAGAAGATCACTTTGGGATCACTTCAGTAATTTTTAGCTAAGTTCAATGTCATGGAATTTTCCAGGGGGATTTTAATGCATTTGTGCAGTCTGGAGAGAGAAGAGGTGTCGTAGTGTCTAGTATCTCTGTTGTAGAGGATTTTGGGAGTTTTATTTAGACAAATAGTTTAATAAACTGTTAATAGACTATGGTTATACTGGTACTGACTTTACTTGGTGTAATAACCGACAAGGAAGAGCAAGAATGTGGCAGAGACTGGATAGAGTGCTAGTTCACCTAGACTGGGGTGTTAGATTTGAGTCTACAGAGGTGAGGCATAATGCTAGAGGCAGATCTAATCATTGTCCCCTATTGATTAACATCCAAGATCTACCTATTCCCCATAGGATTGCATACTTCAAATTTCAAGATATGTGGATGCAGTACTCCTCTTTCAAGTCGTTAATAGACAAAAATTGGAGGGGGCATTACTCATCTAACCCTATTGTGAATGTCTTTTTGAAATTGGAATATTTAAAGGTCCAATTGAAGTAGTGGAACAAAGAAGTTTTTGGCAATATCTTTGAGAAAATTAAAAAGGAGGAAGCTAATCTTAAGCAGACAGAAATGGCCACAGAAGAAGATGATTGAAAGAATAATTTGCTGCTATTGGAAAAGGCCAAACAATATTTGGATAATACTTTGAGATTGGAGGAAATATACTAGAGACAAAAGGCTAATATGAGGTGGGTTGTGGAAGACGAAAGGAACACTAAACTCTGTCATGATATAGCCAAAGGAAGATTTTCTCACATCTCTATACCTAAGAACAACATATTTTACAGGAGGAGCTTTTCTCTGTTATTCCAAAACTGGTGTTACAGGAAGAAAATTTACAGGAAGGAAATTTTTCCATGAGGCATGGGATATAATAAAGGGGGATATTCAAGCTGCAGTCAACTTTTTCTTAGGGGGAGGTATGATTCCAAGATCTGTTAATGCTACTCTATTGTCATTAATCCCCAAGAAAACAAATCCTACATCATTTTCTGATTTTAGACTAATTAGCCTTTGCAATTTTATTTATAAAATTTTTACCAAACTCTTGGCTAATAGGCTAAGTATTATCATGCCTTTGATCATTTCTATTGAACAACATGGTTTCATTAAAGGTAGACACATTGGGGACTGTATCTCAATTGCAAAGTTGATGATTAATGAGTTGGACAGAAAGGTGGAAGGTGAAATTTGGTTCTGAAACTAGACATGATGAATGGGATTTTCCGAAGCAAACTCTACTCAGTATTGGTTTCTCCTCTAGTTTTGTGGCAATCATAGGGAACTATTTATCAAACCAAAACATTTCTATTATTTTTAATGAGCAGAGATTTGTTTTCTTTCCTATATCAAGAGGTCTGAGGCAAGGGGATCCCATCTTCCCAAGCCTGTTTATTATAGTAGAAGAGGACTTGAGCAAGGGACTAACCAATTTATTCCAGATTGGTTTAGTTAAACCTTTTTATACTGGTAAAGGCACTTTGCTGTTGAGCCACCTGTTGTTTGCTAATGATACTCTATTATTTTTTAGAGGAAATAAGAAGTCCATGATGAATTTGCTTAAGTTCATTAGACAATATAAGGATTCTTCTGGGCAAAAGGTGAATAAGAGTTAAAGCTCATTATATTGTTCGACAAAGATATCAATACCTAAGAGAACTGTTTTGCAAAGAACTGCTGGGATTCCATTGAAATCCTATCCTATTACATATTTGGGGTGTCCCATCATTAAAGGCAGGGCAAGACTCATTTATTTTGACGATCTACCCCCCAAATTCCAAGCAGGGATAGAAAGTTGGTATTCTAAACTACTCTCTCATATGGGCAGAGTAGTATTGCTTAAATATGTCTTAAATGCCTTGCCTACCCATTTATTATCTTGTCTAAATCTTCCTGAGGGTATTTTGGCTAAGCTCAATGTTGCAATGAGTCATTTCTTATGGTCAAATTCAAGAGATGCTAAGAAAAGACATTGGTGTTCCTGGAAAGAGGTAACTTTGCCAGTGGAAGAAGGGGGCTTGGGAATTAGGAATTTTGGGGATATCCAAAAAGCTTTCAAAATGAAACAAACATGGGGTTTATTTCTATAGAATTATCTTTGGTCTAAAATTTCTGCTGGTAATTTTTCAAGAAAAGACACGTGCTTAGTAATCCTGATTTATCACATTCCAAAGGGTATCAATTTATGTACCCTTGGTTTGACACTGTGGTAAGGTACTCCAAAAGGCTTATTGGTTTTGGTCAACAAACAAAATTGGTGTGATAACTGGCTTGGTTTTGGGGCTTTAATCTCAAGAATTCAGGGTGTTCCATTATCTTTTCCTAATTTTGTAGAGATCTATAATGGCAATCAATGGAATCTAGAGGAGGTCAGTAACTAGCTGGATGACACAAGAATTTGTTCATTATCTACTGAGTTAACTACTAGCCAAGACCAACTAGTGTGGCAATTAACTGAGTCAGGTTCCTTCACAATTAAATCTGATTGGAATTTGATATGAGGAAGAGGGCATGATAGTGCTATTTCTACTGCTATTTGGAAACAACATGTTTCCCCTAGTGCTCTGCTGGTTGGATGGAAGGTGTTCAAGCATGCCTTACCTATGGATGAAAGTTTTCAGTGAATTAGGGTATCTCTGGCAATCAAATGCCCATTGTGAAGTGAGGGGGAGGAGTCTTATTTTCACATGTTTATTGATTTTGCACGTGCATGGGAGTTGTGGAATAAATTTGCAAGTTTAATGGGTTTTGGTTTAATTAAGCATGAGAAGCCTATGACTAGATTTTTCAGACTAACTAGGATCTTTCCCAAGAATTCTTATAGTTATTCATTGGTCAGAGGCATATCCATTCTTATCTAATGGCAATTGTAGAGGGAAAGCTGCAAAAGATGCCTTGAGGGTACTAAACTACATTCTTTAGGTCTTGTATCTATTGTCCTATATTATTTAAAGCTTCAAGGATATGTAGTAAGACCAAGGGCAGCCGATTTAGTACAAGGGAAACTACTGCTTTATGAGCTTTAGGTTCCAACTATGACCTCCCTCTTATGTACAACCTTATGGATTAAGTAGGAGTTGCCTCCAGAGGGTTTTCTTAAGATGAATGCAGATGGAGGATCTCATGGAAATCCTGGAGAGGCTGTGAAAGGAGCAGTTTTACGTAATCAGTGGGGTCAGGTGGTTGTTGCAAGGTCTTTCAATTATGAGCATTGTTCAAATTTGGAAGTAGAGAGCTGGTTTGATTTTATTGGAAGACTATGGCTTAGTTGAATATTCATTTATCATTGAATTAGACTCTCAAGTACTTTTGGACATGCTTTATGGCAGAAAAAGGATTCCATGGAAAATCAGGGAACTTATGTCTCAAATCTCTAGGAGATGGAGTAATTAGTCATGTACCCTGGTTCACACTTATAGAGAAAGGAACATGGTGGCGGATTATTTAGCCAAGAAAGGAACGATGGATAATGCAGATTTTTGAACTGCCTCATCCAGTTTACTCCTAACCCAAGCACAAATTCTGGTGTTACAAGACCAGAGACAACTCATATACCCAAGAAAGAAGAAAACCTGGGTAACTAATTCCAGGGGGGTTAGATGTTAGTGAGGATGTGCTTTATATTCATGAGCAGATTCATACAGAAACACACATTCAAGGTAAAGTTGGGAGGTAATACATGTAGGATGATTACTTTACTGTGCTTATTGGATCTAATTCTTGGTGAAAGCATCAAAGTTGCATTCATGGCCACATACAAAAGCATACTTCAATATTAGGATTTAAACTTCATGGCTATTATATGCATAATTCCAGGCATGCAAGAAAAAGATAGAGGTTTTTTCAAGTACCTTTATTTTACAGTTCTTCAGAAGGATTTACAGCCCCAGTCTTTCTAGATTTCATGCTTTCTTCTCTCCAGCATTTCTTGGATATCTTTAGGGCTCTTCATTGTTCTACGGCTACCCTTCTAAAAAATAGCTAGATATTCATCTTCTCTATTATCTGTCATGGCTAGTCTTCTCACGATTAGCCGGATACAGACATTCAAAGGAGCAAGGGGATCAACTTGGATACCTTTGTTTTCATTCCAGGAAGATTTGCTGGTCCTAGCTTCGACTTTCGATCCCTTCAAATTCCAAATTAATTGAGTATAGCCTTCTTCATATTGCTGGATATTCATCTTCTCTTTCATGGATTATTTCTCGTGTTTTCTCATTCTGAAGGTTCAAAGACTCTTCTGTTAGCAAGTTGGACATTCATCTTCTATCACTCAGTAGCGCTGAATTTGTTCAGAACATTGGGTTGTCGATGGTTTTTCTTTCTCAGGGATATAAAGAGTCTGGGACAGCCCCTCATTTCAGAATTTTCTCTGAAGACCAAATGCATTACTGCTCAGAAAGGCTAATTGGCCTTTTGATACGTGAAACAAGTTATCAATTGGTTTTCTAGATTCTTAGGTGCAGCTAGCTTATCATCCATGACAGCTTATCAAAGGTCCCCAATATGTCTCTTCATTTACCATATTAGATAGGTTTTACACATAGCTGATCAAAGGTCCCCAATATGTCTCTTCATTTACCATATTAGATAGGTTTTACACCTGATCTTGGCCTAGCTCCTTCAGCTTATCATTGCTCCTTCTAGCTCAAAAAAGCTCGTCTCCTAGCTCCTGAAAAAGGTTGCTTGTAGCTCATTTGGGAGCATTTCAGTTGTTGTTCTATGAAGATAGTTGTTGTTTTTATGTGCTCTTAACTTATTTATAGCTTTTATCCACGGCTCATCCTATCTTTTAGCTATGCTCTCAGCTCATATCAGTTACATATACTATCAGATGTCATTATTATTACTAGAGCTATATCCTAATGCCACATTATTTCTAGACTCTCCTTGAACAACTGCTACACTAGATGGACTATTTCTAAAATTTCCACTGTTCACGTGGCTGTTCAGCTGTTTTTAAAATCAACATGTTTAGGTTAATTCATTTTTATTTATTACTGGTACTAAGCATGCATCTTTTGATTTTATTTAATTATTTTAATGTAATTAGATTTCATTGAGAGGTAAGGTACATAAGTCCCCCTGGCTAGGTGTTATTTAAATTTTCAAATCAATAAAATCTCCTTGTACCATCGAGGTTCCCCCCCCCCCCCAAAAAAAAAAAAAAAGCACATAAATTGTTTGCCAAACCAGGGATGCGTCAATTACTCCCTCAATGCCATGGCATGGAAAGTGAAAAATACTATCACCATCTTAAGGATTTTATGGAAGTAATTAGTACATTCCTAGAACAAAACGTGTGAGAAGAGATGGCCCGTATGAAATTGTTTCCTTTCTCACTTAAAGACAAGGCAAAGACTTGGCTAACTTCACTCAAACCTCGGACAATATCCACATCGCATCAAATGCAAAAAAAAATTTTGACAAATTTTTTCCTAGTTCATAAAGCTACCGCTTTGAGCAAGCAATTTTATAATTTTGTTGAAAACCCCAATAAGCTATTTAATGAATGTTGGAAAATGTTCAAGGAAATTTTAAGCTCTATTCCACACCATGACTCTGAACCATGGTAGATGGTTGATTAACCCTAATTAGTATGTAAACTAAAATAGTTAAATAACTTAATTATGTAAGATTAGACAATTAAAAACTATAAATTAGGGTTAATGTGTAAGCTAGGGTTTATGTGTGTAATGTCTGAAATTTCAAGGATTTTTTGTGGAAATTGAGGGGATCAATATGCTAAAGCATAAACTAGCAAGGAAGCAAGTGTAATTTAAGGATGGAACATGCAAGAATAGTGTAGAAGATCTTCACCACATTCCAGCAAATCAGCACCATCCGGACGGTGGTGATGACATCCGGACGGTTGTCTCAGACGGTTCACCCTTATCCTTTTTCCAGCATCTTGATTTTTGGCCTATAAATAGGTATGTCCTATCCAGCCCAACGCAGAGATTAGAGAGAGAGCGAGTTCTAGGAAGCCTTGGGGAGAATTCAAACACAATACAAAGAGGAATTCAAAGTATGATTCAAGAATTCAAGGGGAGATCCTGTCCAACCTACTTTCCAGCCAGAATTCTGTTATTTCTACATTTCTGTTATGATTTTCTACTTGGAGAGTTGAACTTCCGCCACCTATGTGTCTTAACTGACATTTAAGGTAGTTGTATTTCAATTATTCCTCGAGAAAGGAGTGTCAATGTCTGTATTTTATTTAATATTTTAATGAAACTTGTCCGCACTTCTTGCTTGCTTATAGCAATGAGGTGTGAGTAATTTAATTATACCGTTAAGTAAGGGGTAAACATATGTATATTATTGGTTAAATTATGGAAATTTTGATGTTTAACTATGCTTTATTGATATATATACCTTCCTTAATTGATAGATGGTTATATTTATAATATGCTCATGGTTAAGAACATCGAGCAGTACTTAATATTTTATAACATAGTATCTACTATTATATACTTCATGCATGATACAGCGATGTACGTTAGGTGTTATGAAAAATTTGATTGATTGGTTATAGATGGGTTAAGTCTAGGCATAGCCAATGCTTTCAGTGCAATATGTAGCCCAAAATTATGTCATCAATGAATCATCAATCTGCTAGTGGAATTTCTAAAGTGTTTTAACTGAATGGCATGACCTTCTGGTGCACTAAGGATGTTCAAATGTTGCATGGTATAAAGCTGTCAGATGAATAACCTAAGTGATCCTCCAGAATGGCTTGACCTTCTAGTTCTCTAGGTTGTTTAACTAATACATAATATAAAATTGCCAATTGAGTAATTCCAGTATTCCTCCTGAATGGCTTGACCTTCTGGTTTTCTTGAATTAGTCAATTACTATATATAACTACCAGCTACCCTAAACAATTGTTGTGTTATGGTTTAACATACATCAGACCTATCGGTCAACTTTCCAATGACTTAGGAGTTAATTGTTATAAGGTGGCATTTCTAGTACTTAACCAATATAAAGAATATGGGATCCTTGAACTGAAGGGTACCTTTCATATTATTGTCTTTTAACAGTTTATCTACACATTTTATTTATACAATTTATTTACTTAGCCTAGTTATCAATCTAAGCTTACTTCACAAGCTATCTAATGTTACACTGCTTTAACAATAACTTCGCTATTCTTATTTTAAATTCCAACTATTATAACTCTTCATGGGATCGATCTTGGACTTAAATCGAGAGAACTACAATTCGACCACTTATACTTGGGAGTATGATATAAAGCAGGTCACGAAACAGGTCAAATCAAGTTTTTGGTGGTGTTTCCGTGGAGGTACGATAATTTTAATTTGAATAGGGAAGTTGTTTGCTTGTATTATATGTTTATAGATTGTTTGTTTTCTTTTAATAGTTTATGTCTGTTCATTCATCAGTAGATTCTGTAAATCAATCATCTCCTACGTCTTCATCATCTTAATTTGCACAAGCATCATTTGATTTAAGTATGACTCAAAATGTTCCTAGGGAGCAAGAAGTAGTTCAGAATGTCGGACCACTAAGGGAATATTTGTATCCTACACGTACCAGTGTTCTGTCTTGCTTTTCTTTACCAACAGACACTCCAAATCTTAATATTAAGGTAGGGATAATATAGTTACTACCACAGTTCCATGGTTTGGAATCTAAAAGCCCTTATGTGCATATGAAAGAATTTGAGGAAGTCTGTGAAACTTTGAAGGATAACTCTAAAATGGACTGATTCAAACTTTTTTCTTTTTCTTTGAAATATAAAACTAAACAATTGTTTAATTCTTTAAGAGCTAATTCTATTACAAGTTAGCAAGCTTTGCAAACTGAAGTTTTCAAAAAAAAAAAAATCTTCTACATCATACTTATACATTAAGACATCAAATAATGAATTGTTCTGTAAAAGAAGGGAAAACTTTTTATCAATGTTGGGAGAGATTTAAGAATCTTCTCCAAGCTTGTCCACTTCATGTATTTGAAAATTGAACTTCAGTTGGTTTCTTTTATAATGCTCTTCCATTTGCAATGCGACAGTTTGTTGAAATGATGACCCAGGGGGAATTTATGAGTAAAAATCTTGAGGAGGCATTCCAATTTTTTGATACTATTTATGAAAGTTCCCAAATGTGGGGCTCGACTTCTTCAAATATTGTTGAACCTAAGTCATTTACATCCAAAAGAGGAAAGTATGTGTTAAAAGAAGATGATGATTTAAGAGCTAAAATGATTAATTTATCTTGAAAGCTTGAGGCTTTAGAAATGAAAACAGTTAAGCAAGTGTCTGTTGTGTCTTCTACTGACCAAATATGTGAAGTTTATGCATTGTCATGACAACCTGCCGGAGAATGTCCAACTATACCTGCATTTAAAGAAGTTTTAATTGAACAATCTAATGCTATTCGAACTTATACTAAGCCTTTTCCAAATCCATATTCTGATACCTACAACCCAGGATGGAGAAATCATCCAATTTTAAGTTCAAAAAATATACAACCTATAACTCAATCACAAGGTCCACCACAGCCACAGACTCAATAACAATATCAAGCTTATCAACCCCCACATAGAAGGACTCTAGAAGATACTATGAATTAATTTATTCTGAGTCAAATGAGTTTCAATACTCAAACAACTAGGCATTTAATGATTTTAAAGCTCCAACTTCATAGCATATTGAAGACATTAAGAGTCATCTAGCTAAGTTGACTCAGTCTTTGAGTACTTTAGAGAAGGGAAATTTCAATCTCATCCTAAACCTCCACAAAGTCAAAGTCAAGCTAATACTGTGTCCTTTGAACCTTTTCCAAGTCAAGTATAAGCAATCACAACACTGAGAAGTGGTAAAGTGATTGACAAGACTATTAAACCTAAGATTTCTAAAAAATTGCGTAAGGCAATTCTTGTAAATGAACCACTAGAACCTGAACCTTCAACCGAAAAGCAACCAGAAATACAAAATGAAGAAGATCGTCCATGTTCTATTCCTTTGTCTTTTCCTCAGAGGGTTAAGAAGTCCTCATCTATAAAAGATCATTCTAAAATTCTTGAGTTGTTTAAACAAGTAAATATTGACATTTCTTTGTTAGATGCAATTAAACAATGTCCAACTTACGCCATGTTTTTAAAAGATCTTTGTACATTTAAAAGAAAAATCAATGTACAAAAGAAAGCATTTTTAACTAAATAAGTTAGTGCCATAATATAGCATGACTCTCTTCTTCAATACAAAGATCCTGGTAGTCCTATACTCATGTATTATTAAAAATTTTGGAATTGAGCAAGCATTGCTTGATCTTGGAGCCAGTGTTAATTTAATGTCATATTCGGTGTATACACTATTAGGGTTAGGTGAGTTAAAACCTACCAATGTTACTCTATAGTTAGCAAATTGGTTGATAAAAACTCCACAAGGAATTGTGGAAGATGTTCTTGTCCAAGTT